TGAGATATAGTTTGTTTTCTCCACATCATAAGTAAATAGTTCAACCTCCACTTATTAAAGTATCTAATCTTACCTCACTGAATTGTGATGCCCCCTCTATTGTATACCAGGTCCCAGTACTACTCTGAGCACTAGTGGGAACAGAAGACATACTTGTTTGGCTTCCATATTGATGGAGAATCACTTTGTTTTTTGTTTTGTTTTTCAGAATGTGTAGCAGTTACATAATCTAGTATCAACTTGATAAACAGAGTGAAGGGTGGAATCTAACCTGTCAATGGGGTCACAGCCTGATGGTGACTCCCCATGGGCGTGGCCTTGTTCTGTGGATTCTGAGAACTTTCTAGCTCTTGATTCTGCTATCAGAAGAGGCAGCGGGCCACACTCTCTCTGCTTCCCATTCCTGTTGCCAAGCAACACGGAGTCACGATGATGGCAGCCAGAGCCCTGGAGATGCTTCCCCTACCACTGGATCCACAAGACTCTTCATCCACCAGCCTGTGTGCATCCTTGCATGTGCTGCGTGAGTCTAAAGGGGAATTTACAGACTAGTCCGACATATGGGCTAATTTCGGACTTATGGACTTGATCTGAACTTGGCTTGGATGTTGTCTCAATATACAATTGCTCTTGGATATAAAGCTCTCTCTTACACACACAGGAGTGTCTCTGGCTTTGTTGCTCTGGTCTACCCGGTCCAACACAGTGTGTGTGATGTCTGTTGCTGTGTGTTGGTTGAGGCCATTTCAGTTCGCAGCAACCCCTTGTGCAGCAGAGTAACACACTGCCCCTCCTCTGCCCTGCTCACGATTGTTGCTATGTGTGGCCACAGGTGTTAAATGAAATCACTTTGCCTTGTTGAGTCATATGGCCCTGCTCTAGTTAACATTTTGAGAAACCATATACTGTTTTCCACGGTCCAATCAGTTATGGGTCAGGATTCTCTATTCTCCACGTCTTCGCCAACACTTATTCTTTCCCCTTTTCAGTGTTTAAATTAGTCCTCTGAGTGGAAGCAAAGTTGTTCCTCATTGTGGTTTTGATTTGTATTTCCCTAACGATGAATGGTTTAGACATCTTTTCGCAGGTTTACTGGTCACGGATGCATCTTCTTGGGTAAGACGTTGACACAGCCATTTTTCCCTGCTGCCCTGTGGGCTCTTTGTCTTTTTGTTGGTGAATGGGAGGAGTTCCTTATAGAATCTGGATATGAAATCCTTGTCAGATAAATAAATGGTTTCTAAGTAGTTTTCTCCATTTGTTAAGTTCTCTCATCACTTTGTTGATAATGTCCCTTTGATGCAGAAGAACTGTTAATATTCATGACGTTCCATTGATCTTTTTTTGCCTTTTGTTGTCTGCGCTTTTGGTATCAAACTAGGTACCAAAGGATGACCCCTTGACATTTTTCGAAGAGTTTTATGGCTTTAGCTCTTACGTGGGTCACGGAGCCCTTTTGAGTTCCTTTTCTTGTTCCTTTCATCAATGACATTCATTCTTTGTGGGGATTCAGCTGTCCTCGTGCTGGTTATTAAAGAAATTCTTCTTCCCAATGTGGACGGAGTAAGTTGTTCAGGCCCTTCACGTGTTGCTGGGCCATCACTCAACCTGAGAAAAGTCCATCACAAGCATAAACCAAACCAGCGGCAAACATAACGAAAAAGGAATAGTTGGAATTTAAAATGTATGACTGTGAACCTAAGAAAATTAGGAGTCATTAAAAAGGAAATGGAGAGGTAAGTTTGTGTGTGTGTGTGTGTGTGTGTGTGTGTGTGTGTGTGT